CCGACGAGCCCCCCCAAAGAAAAGAACGACCACATTTATCAAGCTTACTACACGTGGCTGCGGGTAGGACCACAGTTTGCATAGCGTAATACGGTAACGAGCAAAGAACTGACTGAGTTAAAGTTAATCTGCCCGCAGCCGAGAGAGAAGCCGCCTTCCACCCCGCTAGTTTATTTTCTGCCCTTTCTAAGATGCCCGCATACGTGGCCGTTGTTACTCTTCTGTGAATCAAAGGCATCCCCAAATATGTGCCGAGATCTTCCACCCTCTCGAATCCGAGTCTCGCTGAAATGTCTCGGCATCGATCTTCGTCAACAGCAGCCGAAAAAAATAACTTAGTTTTGGCTGAACTCACCTTTAGCCCCGATGCCGAGCAGAACTTCTCAAGGACCCCTTGCAAGATATCAACTTGACTTGTCGAGGCTTCCAAGAACAGCAACAAGTCGTCAGCAAACATTAAGAACGGAATGCGGACCGTCCCACGGCCCACAGCAATCGGCTTCCAATCCCCATAATCGACAGCCGTCCCGATAAGCTGAGCCAGTCGTTCCATGCAAAGGACAAAAATGTATGGAGATATCGGATCGCCTTGACGGACCCCCCGAGTCGGAAAGAAAGGCTCATATTCCTCCCCATTCCATAGTAAATTCATCGAACTGGAGCACACACATGACATTATAGCTCTGGTCAATTTATCCGGGAATCCTGCCAAACGGAGGGTCTCGAGGATAAAATCCCAACGCAAAAAATCATACGCTTTTTCCAGGTCCACCTTGATGACCATATGGCCCGTCCCACTACGTCTCGTTCTCATAGAGTGAATAAGTTCTTGTGCGACAATAATATTATCCGTTATATGCCGCCCGGGCACAAAAGAGGCTTGAGCCGGATGGATGATGTCCGGAAGAACCACCTTCATTCTGTTCACCAAAACCTTGGTAAACAACTTATAAGCCACATTAAGAAGGCTAATTGGTCTGAATTGTTTAATCGTGGAAGGAGACACCACCTTGGGGATAAGGACTAACAGGGACCGGTTTAGCTCCTGCGGAAGAGGCTCACCGGCCCAAATTCGACAGAACAGCTCGTAGACGGACTGTCCCACGGTCGCCCAATTCTTTTGGAAAAAGAGCGCATTTAGGCCGTCGCTACCCGGTGCTTTAAGCGGGCCCATTGCCTTCAATGCATTAACAATCTCAAGCTCTTCTATATCCTGAGCCATGGACGCTTTACGGGCCGCCTCTAAGGGAGGGAAACAGTTGTCCACCACCTGTTCGGGCAGAGGTGCGAGATCCGCCGAGTATATGGCCTTGAAGAAAGTTACCGCCATATCCCGAAGTCCTACTTGGGTATCGACCACATTGCCATTATCATCCATGAGAGAAAGAACACGGCTTCGGGCCCGACGATGTCGCACTTGGCGGTGATAGAAGGCTGTATTCCTGTCCCCAAACAAGGTCCAGTCTCGATTGGATTTCTGAAGGAGTAACAATGCTTCGTGCGTCAGAACTTCATCCAACTCCCGGCGTAGCGTCTTCTCCAGCTCCACCAGGCTGTCTTTGAAGTAGAAGCGGTAGGACCTCTGAATGCCCGCTATTCTGGCCATCAATCGTTTTTTCCTTTGGAAAATATGCCAAAGGTCTCGGAATTCCAAGTCTGAGCTTCCACCGCGAAACGAGAAGCGGCCTCTACGAAAGGTAACCCTGGACGCCACACCTCCTCGAGAAGGCGAGGGAAGTCCTCATGCATCAGCCATGCCGCCACAAAACGAAATGGTTTCCTACCACCCATACTACCAGGAGACTGCCCAAAACAAAGTTGAATGGGCGAATGGTCCGATTGTATAAGCGGCAAATAAAGTAGGCGACCTTCTGAAAATTTGTCGAGCCACGCCGTATTGACAATGAACCTATCCAATTTCTCCGCTACATCTCCCCGAGCCCACGTAACTCTGTTGTCCATCGCATTAATCTCACACAAACTGTTATTATTAATCCAGTTCCCAAATTCACCGCTAACATTGTATCGGGCACTAGATCCTCCAGTTTTCTCAGAGCGCCGCAAAATGCAGTTGAAATCGCCTCCAATAACCCACGGACCACTAGTCACTTGCGCTAGGCCGTCCAGGTCGGCCCAAAGCCGATGTCTCCTCACGGGGTTAGGTGATGCATAGACGAAGGTGGTTGTACATGTTTCGTGGCCCGTAATGACACGCGCATGGATAAACTGACGACCGCACCTTAAGATACGAACGTCCACTCCTTCGGGCCAAAGGAGCCAAATGCCGCCAGAAAAGCCCATAGCTTCTACACGAAACGAGTAAGCAAATCGACTCCTCTTAATAAAAGCATCAGCGCCCTGGCCACTGATACGAGGTTCTAACAACGCAACCACATCCGGTTTATTCTGTTGAACAATGGAAAGGAAGGCAAGCCGAAAAGACTCCGAGGCTGCCCCCTGAACATTCCAGACTAACAACTTCATGGGGAACCGTGCTAGAAATAGGAAATGGATTCCCTCAGGCCCTAAGACGACCCTCCATGTCGGGGTCCTCGTCCTCATCTGTCTCCATGCCCGACGGCGCTACGCGGCCCCTTTCCGTTGGAAACGCCTCCTCCGGCCAAGGGTTTGGCCTACCGGAAGGCGTAAATGTATGATCCTCCAACATGGCCTCCACCTCCGCGCCCGACTCGTCCTCAATGTCCTGGTTAAATTCCATACAATGATCATCCACGATCTGGACCGCTCGATGTTTGGTAGTATCTAAGCCCGAGCCAACAGGGACACTTAACGGTGACGCGAGGGGCACCTGCTGCCTCTCAATCTCGCTGCCGGATTTGGAGGACTTCCCACGAACGACCACCGAGCCCCGAGAGCTCTTAGTTGTCTCTTCGGCCACGCCCTTATCGTTAGTAATCGGCCTAGCATTGATCTCTCCCGCAACAGGCATCTTTCGATTATCCACCTGCTTACGACCCCCCGCCGGGCTCTTCCCCTTATACTCACTTGCTCGACGCCACTCCTTCGGTCCCAAAGTGGTCGGAACACTTTTCGAACTTGATGCCCCAGGTGCGCCGTCTGCTCCAAATCGAAACTCGGGCTCATTGGTGATGTCCCCGTGTGTGTGCAGCACGTTAAATCTATTGCCTAGGGTAGAAGACCCTCCCGACACTCCCTTATCCCGTCGGCCCGTATTTCTCCTCTCCCTCTGAGGTACTTGCATCCAGGGGCCATACAATGCCCCAGTTCCCTCGGGCTCCGCCGATTCCGGTTGTTTTTCCCCTTGGCCCCCGACCGACCGAGTGTTAGCATCAGTTGTTGTCCCCTCCTTGGAACATTCCTTGGGTTGGCTTTCCCGATCTACGCACGAGTTAACGTCGTGTCCATACTTACCGCAGCGGAAGCATATAAGCGGCATATTTTCATACTCAACCCGTTGGGTTTTACCCCCAATCGTAAAGTGCACACACAACGGCTTGGACAGGTCGACTAGCACCGCAAGACGAGCATACTTCCCCCTTGTAAGCGAGGCTGTTTGATAATCTATCTTCACCACCTTCCCCACTATTTGACCAATTTGCCGAAACACGCGTTTGTGATAAAGGTGCACGGGCATCCCTGGAAGCCGAATCCAAGCCACAACTTTGGATAGTTTCGCTTTGTGTTCATCAAAATCCAAAGACCAAGGTTGGACATGAAGGTAACCGTTCCCCACGACATAAGGACCACCCACAAGGGTACTAAGCGCGTCCTCATTATTCCGAAAATGAACCAAATAGTAGCCGTTTTCTAAATCCATCATCTTGCAACCCACCATGTGGGGCCACATTTTCGTTAAACGATTGTACAGGACCGCGTGAGAGAGAGATGTATCCATAGGTTTGACCACCACCACGTCTTTCCAATCCTTGGCTAGCATCTCCAGGAATCGTGGCGCGATGCGCACGTCCGACACCGATGTCGAGAAATCTACCGAGATGTCCTTCTCCACCCCATCGTCCGCCTCCGCTTCATCATCCACCACAACATGTGGCTGGTTCCTACTCACCATTTCCCGAAAGCTTAAGCGCTGGGGCTCGTTCGTCATCGCCTTAGGGGCTGAGGGATTAGGGTCCTCCATTGGTTTCAATCCATTATTTTCTCGTTCAATCGAGATTCCCGGATCAAGGGGGCGCCTACGCTTAGAATAGCGGCCATTAACAAGTGGCGGAATCGACTCCTTATTCAACGCCGGGAATTCATCGACAATTCGCTGCGGAGTAGTGTTGCCTGCGTTGTCGCCGGAGAGAGCGCTCGGAGTATGAAGGAGAACAGGAGGGGTTGACTTGACGGCGCCGCCGTCGGAACTAGGGTCAGCGTTCAAAGTTTCGTCAGACATATTTTTTCTAATTTCCTTTTCTCAAACTCGTTTAATTTAACAACACTATTTGTGTTAAAGGGATTAGGGATTAGGAGTAATGACCAAAATATTGTTAATGAGTGCAGAAATTTGAATTTCTTTTATTTTATTTTATTTTTATTTTTTATTTTTTTATTTTATTTTTTTTTTGTCGTCGGAGTGCAAATGCTTAATTTTTTTATTTTTTTTTTGTTGGATTATCATAATGTACATGAAAATCTTTCTCGTTTGAATCATACCTATATATATTAAAATAATCATTAAAATTTCGACAAAAGAAAATGACAAAAAAACGAATGATGTAACCTTCAGAAATCACCGAAATTGTTTCTCAATCTATTCTTAGCAACAAAGCTGATACAGAACTGTATATATCAATTCACAACATTCTGAAGTTCGTATATCAACGTCATTTGTCAACAAAACTTTGTACTTGTTCACAAATACAGAGACAGATACAATCATATTCATCAGAAACGGGAACACGAAAATTTCATTGTGAAAGCTCTACAAGTGAAGCATAAACGATGAGTAGAGGATCGAGCATCAGTAAAATCAACCATAAAGATACAGCAACAATAGACCAACAAACAGACAACATTTACAAGTACTCCACTAGATCTTGTTCCCTCTGCAAATCCCATATGATTATCTTGCCATCCAATCCTGTAATAAATATGGGCAAAATAAAGCCGTCATAAGTAGCTTCAAATTAGTGGGTTTAAAATATTCGAGTTTGCTTTGCGCTATTTCAACCTGAGGTGCTGAAGCTGGTGATTGTAGTATCTCCCGAATCCTTGAGGGCCACGATAGAACTAAATTTTGGAAGTCGAAAAGATGGTCATCACAATCTAAATCACGAGAGGAGATGGAGGGATAATTGCGGGAAACTAAAGCGAAGATAGCAAAGGACGTACGTAATACAGTTGTCGTGTTTTCTTGAGTTTTCACTACTCTCGTCATTGCTTCCGGTTTTCGACTGACTGTAAAACTTTCCAAATGTTCCAGAACGCTGGAGAAAAGGAAAATAAAAATTGAAGATTGAAATATGTGGTATGCAGATCAAACAATTAACACATTTTTTAGATGGTCAGAGTACAAAATAATAATAATAATAATAATAATAATAATAATATAATAATAATAATAATAATAATAATCATAATAAAAAATAAATAAAAACAAAACAATCACACATTATTATGCTGCATATTCCTAAGTCATCAATCAAAGAATGGTTTCATGTTTCCCAAAAATACAACCAGCCTTTACCTGCAAGCCATATTTTGCACCTGGAGTTTGTTCACGGTCATCAAGAAACCTCAAGAAGCTCCTACAGGTTATTGAAAGGAGAAACAAAATCAGAAAAGAAAAGATTCAACACATGTTTGGGCTTATAGTGCATTCACACAAGTACATCATGGGCTTAGCCTAGTTACCAATTAACCCAGGCCAGCGTACAAAATACGGATAATCCACTACAAACAGTTACAAAAGTCCCCCGTGGTTTAAATTCACTAAGCAAATAAACCCCCTCTCGAGGAGGACAAATTGATAAATATGAACTTTTAAGAGATAGGCTGGGCATTTAATTTTTTTCGGCTAAACCTCGGGGTAGTAGCTTTTGTAATTAACTTTTCTCCAATGATAGGGCTTTTTTTTTCTTTTCTTGTGAATTTATACTTCTGAACAATGACAAACGACCACTAGAGTATTAGTATACTTAGTACATTAAAACTCAACTCACCATAATCCCCTTTCATCTGCTACAAATACCATGGGATTGCAATCAAATCCCACTCCAATGAGCATTCTTTCAGAAACGAACAGAACCTAAATCAAGTAATTTCCTAATCATTAGTTTTTATCAACATTATCAGCATAAGATTATAGAAAACAATTTTTTTTAAGAGTTGATGCTGACCCACATCTCGTAGAGGCAAATCCCGGAAGGTTAAACTCTGAGCAGATGGAGAAGGGCCAACGTCATCAACAAAGTATATCATTGAGTTGTGACCTGAGGTTTTGTGCTCATTAATTAAAATCAAATAAACCATGAAGTATTCACTCACATGTACAAAGTATACTAATAATTTTTCTGAGAAACAGGTTGCACTCAATGTCCAATTTCAGACATGAATAATACATGATTGCTTTTTAGGAGCAAGATTTGAAAAAGCAAAGATGTATTGAACTCTGTATCACATGCGGATAGAAAATAAATGCATACTGCCAGCGTATGTCAGGCAAAGATCTCGCTGATAACAAAGCAAACTGAAGAAAATCTGACCTACATAGGCTAAGGTATTGCCATGTGGGGACCACGTAATGCCAAATGTCCAACTAAATGAGAGATCAAGCTGCATGATTTGCTGATCCAAAAGAGCACGGAAACGATGAGGAAAGAAAAGAAACAACCAAACAAATAGTAAATCATACATTTTTCCCACATCAATTAATAGGCTTCAAATATGATTTTTTTAAAAAATAAAAAAAATAGTATAATAAAATAAGCAAAGGACAGATCCAGACCTCTCCAAATTTTGAATCAGAAGAACCTGTAGAGTTCCTGTAAGATTGTAAGATATGCCACGAAAAATGTGCATTAGTTATAAAGGAAGGGAAACTGAACGCCAAAGACTCAGAGATTCAGTATCACCAATGAAACATACTTCGTGTCTACACCTTTGATGAAAGTAGAGAATACTCGGCACTTTCCATCGGTTGATGTGGTTGCAAGCAATATCTGAGAACAAAAAATATTGAAAAGTTCAAATAATCAACTAAATGAAACTAAATGAAGCTAGTGAAACTATCGAAAGAAAATCTGAATGGACCTCCCCAGTCCAATATATGTTGAATTATTATATTACATTCCAAACACTTACTGCAATAGGATGTAACATTTAGCTCTCGAATAAGGAATTCTCATCTTTTCAATCAATATATACATAGGCATCAAAACATTGTAATGCTCAGATGGGTGCATATCAAGATATAAACCGATCTTGTGTTATTCCTCCAAAATAAAGATAAAAGTGGTGTACAAAACGCAACTGTTATTTGGAGGAAATGGTAACTGTTCACAGAGCAACAGATAGAAGGCCAGATAATAGACGAGGCATACTCACATTATTAGGATGCCAGGCAACACTTGTCACGGAAGAATCATGCCGCTTTCTAATAATTTTGCTTACCCACCTGTGGGAAGTATAAGACACAGAGACAAATAAGCATTTGCGCCAAAATAACAGAAGACTCAACAAAGACACACATGTACCCCTAATTCTACAGAGAAATTATATCACCATGCCTTAAACAATAATAATATTACCGAAAAAATTGGGAGAAACAGGAACTAAGGAATCTTACCAGTTGTTCTCTTGCTCATAGTAGCATATACAAACAGTTTTAGCCCCACTTCCCACAGCAAACTTGTTTTCTGAAGGAGGGGGAAAAACAGTAGTTAAGGGAATGCATCAAATTTACAGCAGAGTGAATGTAAGATGGAAAAAAAGCACAACACATTCTCTTGTAAGTTTTCATATCGAAGCACGTCTCATGCGTCACAATTTTTTTAAACACCACTGTTTAATTAGAACAGGAAGTGTCAGAATGCATGTATAAATAAGAGAGAGGAACAGCGGTACAGAGAGAGAGAGAGAGAGAGAGAGAGAGAGAGAGAGAGAGAGAGAGAGAGAGAGAGAGAGAGAGAGAGAGGAAGAGGAGCTACAGAAATCTCAAGCGCATTACGTCCATCATCACATCATGCATCACAAGACTTAATGCATCAAACCGCAAATAGATTTTCATACCTTTCGGGCTCCATTGTACACAAAGTGCGGCACGATTCAGTCTGAGGATAACAAGGGTTGGCACCCACTCTGACGCTTCTAGTGACCACACATATCTAAAAAATGATGAACTCATATTTCAACCAAAGTGCCAATGAAATTGCAGGCAACGATATTAGTCTAACATAAAAATTAGTGGTATCATTTGAACTAGACCAACGGAAGATAGTCACTTACGAATTCCGATCATGAGCAACAGAAACTATTCTGTTCAAACCTACGCCCCAATCTATTCCAGAAACAATTTGATCATGCTGTGACCAAAAGAAGACGATGAGAAGATGAATCAAGCCAATGATGAATTAGATGATAGAGATCAAAAATCTGTCAAGAACTTAACCAATATAAAGTAAAAAGCAACACCGTGGCAACTCTTGAAATATCAGGCAGCATAATTTCCTGATATACTTTTCCTATATTGCCTGGAGATTTTTTCCTAACCACATAACACATGCCTATATTTATATCTGTAGCACTGAAATTTATCAAATTTCGATATGTATAAAAATAGTTGAGGTGATTTTCGACAACCAACAAAAGAAAACGATTACCCAATTTCACAATTTTTTATTTGGTAATGGTAACTTCAGAAGATGTTTTTCTTTCAGATTTAACTCCTGCATACTGGGACAAACACATAAAATGGTTTAAAAGTTAAAACACAAAAAATTAGTTACTTAGTAATCTTTGTGCTATCAATTTTCTGCTTAACATTACTGCAACCAGACCTTATAGCTCCACCAAGTGCACAACACACTTAGCGCATTCAAGGTATTTTGAGGAAATGCACATTGCAACTTTTTCGAAAGACGCACAAGGAAACTAGCTAGATCGCAATTAGTTCACCAGAAACCAACAAAACTGAAGCACCTTCAAAAGAGACGCTGCACGTTTACCTTTTGAAGAACGTGGATCTTCTCCCACTTTCCTCCCAAAAGCTGATAGATATGCACTTCATTGTTATTGGGACAAAAGGCTATCACTACAATCCAAGCAACACGAGAAATTACGACTACCCTTAGCAACCCACAATCATACAAACAAAACACTAAACCATAAAATTTCGCATTACTCGAATGATCTGGGCTCCAAGCATGGCAAGTGATGCATTGAGCAAACTGATGAACTGAAACCGCGGCCATGGTTTTCGATTTCAAATGGTAACTAATAAATCCTGGGACGAAAAAGCAACCCAACGGATGGGACAGGATATTCAATTTTGTGCTTAGAAAAAAAAAAATACAGCTGAGTACAATTTCGGGAGCTATATGATCGGGCTCACCTGATTTCCTCCCACGGTGTAGGGCCGCCGTTGGTTCCGGAAAACGGATCGGCGGGGAGAGGACTGAGAACGCAGTAACGGGCAGGGCAGATATAAAAAGACGAAATTGATTAGGGTTTTGAGATTGGGATCGATGAGAGATATGCGGGGGAGAATGTATACAATGTGGGAGGAGTTGGGCGATAAAAAGGAACGGAAAAGGAGGTGTTGTGCGTTGGTGGCGGTGGCGGTGGTGGCGGTGGCGGAAGGTGGATAGAGAGAGAGAGGAAGAAGGAAAAGTAAAATCTGTATTATTGCGATTGCTTATACTGAAATTATGCATATGTTAATTTAACAGATATTCTATAGCTACTCCGTTTAATTGTCATTTGCAGAAAACTAGTACACTACTCATGTTGTACTGCACGAGAACTAAGAAAATAAATATTTATATAATCAAAAATAAAATTAATTAAATATATATATATATATATATATTGTTGGAAATTTAGTGTAAAATTACACGGGAATCCTACGAACTGATATGTATTTTCAGTTCTTACAAATAATCTAAAAATAGAAAATTACAATTGAACTGAAAAATAAATTACAACTGAAAACGGAAAGATTTTAGCCGAGGCGAGTAAAACTCTTTCCGCAAGAAGAATACGCCCCGTGTGGCTGCTAACGGTTAAGGCGTAACTTCCCCAAAGATACAACGGCAAACGTCTCTAAATCTGTAGCACACCAGATTTACGAGCTCCGGCGAACTGTAATGGAGTCGAGAGTTGAGCACTTGAAATATAAATAAAATATCTCTCTTTTTGTTATTTTTATAACAAATAAATATTTCTGTTTTTCTTTTCTCCTCTTTATTTCTTCCTTCTTTTTTTCTCTTATCTCTCCACTCCTTCCTTTGTAAGGCCATCTATTTATAGATTGAGCAATTAGCAGAATCCTTCATACGCCTTCAGCAAAATTGATTGGCCAATTAAAGTCAAATGGATGGATAGATTGGCATACAGTGGTTGGAATATAGTGGTTAAGAGATTAATAAATTTGGTTGTAGGACATTTAATAAGTCAACACCCAACCACCTTACAAATTAATTGGTTGGCCATCTTCATACAACTAATATCCCACCGCCTCCAATATTTAATACACTCACAATTATAACAATCCCCCACATGAGTGTAAATTAAATATATTCATACTAGTGTGCTCAATCCTCATAAAACTCTATTGCATCAGAAAAGGTAGCTTTTGGCTTTGAACCTTCCTTAGTAAACATCATCGGATGTACTGGTGGCCTAGTGGACATAATGCCTTGAACTATTCCTCCATAGTGTACACCGAGACAATGACATTCACACAATAGAGTCTTAACTCCATTTCACTCTATCGTTGTGTCCGTTTTGGCCATGGACAACACAATGGATTCATAAGTGTTTACATTTGAAGCGGCCCACACTTCACACTTATATAGGTGACCTCCCTATCAAGAGTATCATGTCATACTCCACCTTTACAAGGTTAGGGATTCATTAAAAGTCCACATGACTTACCCTCACCACAATCAACAGGTAATCTTGCACTTGGAATGCTCTAGGGAATAGCTATGGACATTCATATGTTCCAAGTGCTCAACTGAATTTTCATAGCTTAGTTTTCCCTTTGAACCAAGTTTGAGGGATCTCCACTCAACATGGTAGGGTTACCACTATGATCATTCTTTACATTGTGGATTTTTAAGCCCATTCCCTCCAGCAAAACTGTCAATTTGTCTCTACTCAATCCTTTCGTCAAAGGATCAGCCAAATTTTCCTTAGACTTCACATAGTCAATGGAAATAATACCATTAGTGATCAATTGACGTACGGTATTATGTCTACGACGAATATGTCTAGACTTACCGTTATACAAGTTGCTTTGCGCCCTACCTATAGCAGCTTGGCTATCACAGTGAATCATCACAGGCGGTAAAGTCTTATCCCAACATGGAATATCAGATAAAAAATTTCTAAGCCACTCGGCTTCTTCACCAGCTTTATCTAAAGCGATGAACTCTGATTCCATCGTTGACCGAGCTATACACGTTTGTTTTGTGGATTTCCACGAAACTGCACCTCCTCCAATACAGAAAACATATCCGCTAGTGGAGCGAGAATCTCTCGAATCTGATATCCAGCTTGCATCACAGTACCCTTCAAGTACGGCTGGATATCTCGAGTATTTGAGCCCGTATTCAAGGGTGTACCTCAAGTACTTAAGTACCCTTCTTAAAGCATTCCAGTTCTCATGACTGGGATTGCTCGTAAATCTGCTCAACTTATTCACCGGATAGGCCAAGTCTGGTCGTGTACAATTCGTCAAGTACATCAGACTCCCTATTATCCGTGAATATTCCAACTGAGCCACTGGTTGACCTTTGTTGACTTCCAGATTTATACTGAAATCAAGGGGTGTCTTACACCTAGACTGTGCACCGTCATAGGTATCAAATTTCTTGAGCACTTTCTCTACATAATGAGATTGTGACAAGACAATTCCATCTTGGGTTCTGATAATTCTTATTACAAGAATAACATCAGCCAAACCCATATCTTTCATGTCGAAATTTCTTTTCAACATTCTTTTTGTATCCATGATCACTTCATGGTTACTCCCCATGATCAACATATCGTCTACATATAGACATACAATCACAAATGTATTTGATGTTCCCTTGACATAAACACATTTATCACATTCGTTGATTTTGAAATCATTTGTCAACATCACGTCATCAAATTTCAAATGCCATTGTTTCGGAGCTTGTTTCAGTCCGTACAAGGATTTGATCAATCTACACACCTTTCTCTCTTGTCCAGGTGCAACAAACCCTTCAGGTTGTTCCATGTATATTTCTTCTTCCAATTCACCATTCAAAAATGCCGTCTTGACATCCATTTGGTGAATCTCAAGATTGTGCAACGCAGCAATCGAGAGAAGCACTCTTATCGACGCTAAACGTGTAACAGGTGAATAGGTATCAAAGAAATCATACCCTTCCTTTTGTTTAAAGACTTTGACCACCAAACGTGCTTTAAACTTATCAATTGATCCATCAGCTTTATATTTCTTCTTTAGGATCCACTTGCATCCTAAAGGTTTACAACCATTAGGGAGATCAACCAACTCCCAAGTATGGTTCTGCATAATGGACTCAATTTCGCTATTTACAGCTTCTTCCCAGAGTGGTCCATCTGGGCTGGACAGAGCTTCCTTAAGGGAACTCGGTTCATCGTCCAACATGTACGTAATAAAATCAGGTCCAAACGTTTTAACCGTTTTTACCCTTTTACTACGTCTCGGTTCTTCACTAGTACCCTCTGGTACAGAACCACTAGAAGTTTCATATGTTCTTTTATTAGAACTAGATTCTGCCCTTTCCTTCATAGGAAAAACATTCTCAAAGAATATAGCATTCCTTGACTCAATCGTGGTACCAACCGATACCTCTGAATTTTCTGATTTATGAACCAGAAATCTATACGTTGTACTATTGTACGCATATCCAATAAATATACAATCGACCGTCTTTGGCCCGATTCTCATTTGTTTTGGTTCAGGTACTGAAACCTTAGCCAAACACCCCCACACTTTCAGGTATTTATAAGACGGCTTGCGATTTTTCCACATTTCGTAAGGAGTCTCATCTTTCCCTTTAGGTGGTATTTTATTCAGGATATGATTTGCTGTCAAAACAGCTTCCCCCCACATGTTCTGTGGTAATCCTGAATTAATCAACATGGCATTCATCATTTCTTTTAACGTACGGTTTTTGCGTTCAGCAACACCGTTCAACTGTGGAGAATAAGGGGCCGTCGTTTGATGAATTATGCCATATTCAGAACATATTTGTTCAAAAGGAGCTACATACTCTCCACCCCTATCACTTCGGATTATTTTAATCCTTTTGCCTAGTTGATTTTCAACTTCGGTCTTATATATCTTAAACGCTTCCACAGCCTCATCTTTGCTTCTTAACAAATATAAGTAGCAAAACCTTGTGCAATCATCGATAAAAGTTACAAAATACTTTTTACCGGTTCTTGTTTGCACACTTTTCATATCACATACATCAGTATGGATCAAGCCTAATGGTTCAGTACTCCTTTCCACCGAGTGAAAAGGCAACTTAGCCATTTTTGCTTCAATACAAATTTCACATTTTGTATTTTTATCAACTTTAGAATTAGGAATTAATTCTAATTTCATCAACCGTTTTATCGCATTTAGATTTACATGTCCCAATCTAATATGCCACACATCATAGCACTCAACGGTATAAACAGAAATAGGCTTTTTATTATCAACGGTTACACGGCTTACAGCCATTACATTCATTTTGAACAATCTCTTGTCGAGATAACCAAGACCAAGGAATTTTCCATATTTGCTAAGAATAAACTTCTTAGCTTCAAACACCAGCCTAAATCCATGCTCAACAAGAAGTGATCCAGAGACCAAATTCTTGCGGATGTCTGGGACATGCAGAACATCCTTCAGCTTTAACTCCCTTCCAGAAGTGAGCTTCAGCACCACCGTGCCCACTCCAGCCACATCAGACGTGGAGGAGTTTCCCATGTGAAGTTTTCGACCCGTAGCAGGAGTGTATTCAGAGAACACCTCCTTGCCGGAACACACTTGACGAGTGGCACCAGTATCGATGTACCACTCCCTTGGGTTATCCACCAAATTGGCTTCAAACACCACTGCCGACATATCAAAATCGATCAATTCACCCGGCACAGGCCGTGTTCAGCAACAAGGGCACTCAGTTGCCTTTTATTTGGCCCAGCTTTCTTTGGCCTCTTGCAGTCTTTCGCCATATGGTTTGGCTTTCCACAGTTGTAACAAGATCTAGTGAATTTCCAAACCTTGGCGGGCTGCTTCCCTTTGTTAAGGGGCTTCCTTTTGCTCGAATTTCCTTGCTCCAACAAGTTCGCACGAGCCTCCATTATCGGGCTTTTGCCCGACGAATTACGGTTGTCCTCCTCAATACGAAGACGAACAACCAGGTCTTCAAGACTCATCTCCTTTCTTTTGTGTTTGAGATAGTTCTTGAAGTCCTTCCAGCCTGGCGGCAGCTTCTCGATCACAGCCGCTACTTGGAATGACTCACTCAAAGTCATCCCTTCAGAATGGATATCGTGCAAGATCAGCTGGAACTCTTGCACTTGTGACACGACGGTCTTCGTGTCAACCATCTTGAAGTCAAGAAATTTGCCGACGACGAATTTCTTCGCCCCGGCATCCTCCGTCTTGTACTTCTTCTCCAGGGCATCCCAAAGCTCCTTG